TAAGGAAAGATCAGCTATGGTGCCAGGAGTGGAGAAAGCAAGACAGAGAATGCCCCAGAAGAGTCTGAGGAGGGAGGGAGCAATGGATCACGTGGGGTCATGTAAAAAGATTTTGTCTATATTCTAAGGACAGGCAGCTACAGTGTTTAAAATAGGAGAGTGACTCAGTTGAATTTCTTCTGCCAAATCACTTCAGTCCCTCTAACCCCATCTTTTCCCATCTGCATGTATACCTCTTATAACCCAGACCGTGTTACATTGTAGCTAGTTGCTTAGGTATCTTTTCTCCCCCAGCTGGCTGATGGCCTCTTGAGAGCAGAGACCATGTCCTAACCATAACTGTAACTCCATCAGGCTTCCTACTGCCCTTGGTATCGAGTGCAAACTCCTTTTGTGGCCTGCAAGGCCTGGCACCATGTGTCCCTCGCCCACCTCTCCAGGAACACCTTGAGTCATCTCCTTTGCTCTCCAGTGATCCATCGTGGTCCAGCCACACCAGCAGGCACACCACTTTCTATGGGGCTTTTCAAGAAGCTCTGGCTAGGATAGCACAACTCTTTAATATTCTCAGAGCAACCAATGCTTCCCCATCACAGCACCTACTAAGATTTGTATCACTACTTATATACATTATTGATTTGATATCTGTCTCCCCTCCTAGACCGTCCATTTCATGAAAGCAAAGAACTTGTCAGCCTTGGTCACCATTATATCCTCAGTACCTAGCACTGTGATGCTCATAGTTGGCATTCCACAAAGAGTTGTCGAATGACAGAATAAGTAAGAATGCATGAATAGGTAAAGAATGGATGAGTTAATGCATGATCCCAGTGGCCACCCAGGCCAACTCAACAGCTGATGTTGGAGACCTCTCTCTGGTTGCTCTCCAGTACCTTCAATGACATAACCTCGTTGCCGGCCTCACCAACTCTCCACTGGAAGAAATCAATGGTAGTGAAGGCTTTATGGAATAAATGGAAAGTAGAAATGGGTAGAGAAGGCCAGGAAGGCATTTCTGGCAAACTCTGAGTAGTTATTATCTTATTCCTTCCGCCAACCAAGAGGAAGAAAGCTGGCAGACACCCATGTTCAGTGAATGAGTCCATGTAAATGTTGATGTGCGTAAGATTTTGGCTGCATTCATAAGCTCCCCATGTCCAGGGCATTTCAAAATCCTTCACAGGAACTAATGGGTTCAAATAGATCCCTCTAGGTCAGTGCTTCTCAAACTATCTCTGGTCAAGGGCCAGGTTTTGTTTTTATTTTAAATCCATCAGAGATCAATACCTTACAAAATACAGAAATTATTCACTTGGATGAGGCAGCAATGTCAAATTGCTATAAAGTTTCTAAATGCTTACTTCCCATTTCTGTAATCATTTCATCATGAGTAACAGATATTTTGTAGGCCTATAGCCAGCTGCCACCCACACTTTGAGTAGCACGAATTCAGATCAGTATTGTACTCCCACTACCTCATTCCTAGCCATGGCAGACATTGCTAATCAATCGTTACACCTTTCCCCATCAAGCCCACGTTTGGCCTTAAAATCTTTCTCATCCTAGTGTTCAAGACAGTCTTCACCATATAATTAATCAGGGATCTCACAGAAAGTTCAACTTATTTACCATCCCTGCTCTACATGGTCCACAGATTGGCCATTTGTCATATTCATGCCCAGAATAGGGAAATATCTATATTTTTGTGTCCAGCCTAATGAAAAGTTCATAGAGAATAGCCATTTCATCAAAGAGAGTCTGTCCTGGACTCATTCAGTCTATTAACAACCTTTTTGCAGCGTGAGAAGCCCTTAATTCATACATACTAAGAGAAGATGTAGCAATCTACACCACATACAGAAACTAACTTCTGGTGTGTTCTCAGATTTAAACTGTATGGATCACATTTGGGAACAAAATCACTGGCCCTTCATTGCTTTGACTCTTTCTTCCCTCAAATTCTCCATTCCTATGACTCACCTGCTTTTATTTCAAGTTGTCACAGGGGCTCATTCACAGTGGTTGTTTGCATTTCTCTTTGTCCTCTTTGTCAAAACAGAGAGGGTTTTCATTCCTCCTACATTCAATCCTTTCCCAAGCAATATTAAAGCCCCTTAGTCCTCCTCTGGTAACAATCAAGCTGTAACCCAACCTCCAGTCATTGTCTCTGAGAGGCCAAAGAAGAATCCACAAGGGGGAGAGAATTAATCTGTTGTCTCTGGGCTACAGATCTAAAGCTCACTCCAAAGAAAAACAAGTTTCACTTCAAACATTTTCTCTCAACCTCACCTGTCAAGTTCCCTTTGAAATGTTTTTGCAACTTCTTCATGGTCCCTACAAACCACAGACTCACAGACTGTTAGAGCTGGACTGTGTCATACGAAGCATCTGGCTAACCCAGAGCCCTCTTGGGACTGGAGGGGAAACAGTGAGGCTTGTCTGAGGAGTCAGAAGGCAGAGGTCCCTCACTGAGTAGCTGGATGACCTCAGAAGAGCTAATTCACCTCTCAGAGACCATTTGCAAGGGAAACAGATATGATCCCTAAAATAGGTTGTGATCCAGTCATGGGGCTAGTTCAGACAATGGGAACAAAAGTATTTTGACAATGAGAGCCCTACATGAATGTGGGGATCTTAACTGTCCTTCTGATAGCACCACAGTGAACAGGAGGCCAGCACCAGAGTAGAAAACCTGGGAGTAGAAAGAACGGAATGGATGACCCAACATACCCTTTGACAAAGACCACTCAGGAGCTGGAATGAATTTAAGGAAAAGAATTGGGGGGAGAGGGGTGTCCCATTTGTAGTCCAACTAAGAGACGACAGTAGCTTGAACTAGGATGGTGGTCGTGAAAGGAAAAAGTGGACAGACTCAATAATATTCATTAGGCAAAATTATCCAGGCTAGGTGATGGATTAGACGTGTGAAGGGAAAAGGAGGGGGCATGTTCAGGGTGACCTTTTTGGCTTACTTAACTGGATGAGGGTGTGGTTCAATGAGATAAGAAAGAACAAGAAAGACCCAGGTAGGTGGGGCACAGATAAGAGATGGCAGGCTTGCTTTCAAAGGCTTTGAGTTTGAGGTGCCTTTGAGACATCCAAGTGGAAATGTCAAATAGGCCATTGGAGCTGAGTGGATATGTGTGGCTCAGATATAAAATGCCAAGTGTATCCACACAGATGGTAATTGAAGTCATTGGCTAGGATAAGATCACCTAGACAGAGAGAGTATAAGGTAAGAAAAGAAGTGGGCCTAGGACCAAGTCTTGAGGAACCATCACATTTAATGGCAGAGCAAGATGAACCTCTAGTAAAACCAAGGAGAAACCAGAGAGACAGAAGGAAAAGCAGAATAGTGTTTTTAACCAAGGGAAAAACATAATTCAAGAAGGAAGAAATGGCCAGTAGCACCAAGTACTGGTAAGGGTTCATTTAAGATAAAGGCTGAAGAAATATCCATTAGATGAGCAATGGAGGCCATCAGTGCCCTTTGCCCTTTTGTGATAGAAATCATACTCTAGGTCCTTTCCAAATGCAGTCTCTTCCCTATTCCTTGCCCCCATTGCCATCCAAGGTTAAGAATGGACCACAAATCTCTGGGAAAACCAATCTTCCTTGGGGTCCTGAACACTATGGCTACTTCAACACAACAGTTTAGGGCTTCAGCTAAGCCTGTAACTTTCAGGCAGCTCTACCCCATCCTACATACTAATAAGTCCTATCTACTAAGATTGGTTTCCTACAGATCACAGATGGCAAATATGCAGCATGCTTTTTAACACCTAACAAATCTGGGTCCACATCAGACATCACTAATCAACCACAGGTCCTCACCTAAAAATGTGTGCCTCTGAAAGTCACTATCTCTACATCTCACATTGCAGAATGGCTCTACAGTACAGAACCCGGAATCACTGACTTCATTGTTTGCAATTCACCATCCTCCTCTGAGGGAGGCAAGACACAGAGGAGACAGAGATGAGACACATTACACACCCAGCATCCCTTTGTCCCTGGTTCCATTTCCCCAGCTGACTGGCTGCATGCAGCCATTGGCCAGACCATTACATCTATTCCCAATATTGATGTGATTTGCAGTGATTTGCTTTGGAAATCAAAGCTGGGGAGTCTGGGCTTTATCTGAAAAGCAGGCCCTGCTGCACTCTAAATGGAGAATGACTGGGCTCACAGCAGAATTGGGTCTGTTTGGCATGTCCTGTCAGACACGAACACCCATTGGGTCCTGCCCAGCATGGACAATGCGCATGCCACTTACCAGCCTGATTTGGGAAGATAATAGGCTAAAACAAAGGAGCAGATGATCATGGAGGCTTATTTGCCGTCTGCACAGTTTATACTTAGCCATCTTGTGACTGGGTTGTAGGTCCTGTGTGGCAGTCACCCTTGGGAAATTCAATCCTGAGGGATGCAGAGGTGGGACAGACAGGGGAGAGGGTAAGGAGGGGCCTAAAATGCTACTTTAGGGCACAGGAAAGAGGGTCAGACCAATAAACAATCAGCTGGTGACAGTAGAGACTTCTCTGTCAGCAGCATGGAAGAGAATGTAAAAATGTGTAAGGGGACATTTTTAATAGTCTGTAAATTGCCCAGCACCCTGGCATCAAAGTCTCTTCCTTTTCCCTTTGGGTCCACCTCATCTGCCATGGATTAGAAGCCATTTCCCTGTTCTATAAAATGAATGGGCTAGAGAGGATGATCCCTAAGATGCTGTGATTCTACCCATGACAAGGTAAAGAGAGGCAATCTATGGGGGCTGCAATGGATGGGGTGAGTGGGGAGCTGTGGGCTTGTTAAAATCTTGGGGCAGTCATAATAGAACATTCTGCAATCATCAAAAATGGTGGTGCTGATGCCACCCAACAAAAAATGAACTTTCATTAAAATGTATCTCAAGGGATTAAAAAGTGTACACATGCACACACACAAGTATCTCAAAATTAAAATAATCTTTAGAGAAAAAAAGACAGTGCTAATCTATATTAATTGAAATTGAAAGTATTGATAACATCTTGTTATGTGAGAATGGCGGCAACCTCATGAAGCCGTCTATTGTCAATAAGGCAGCAGAGGGATGGGAAACAGTGATCACCGGAGGGCACTCCCCAAAGAAGAAGGAGAGTCCAAGCAGAGCCTCACCTCACCCCTGCTGACCCCTTCCACTCTGTATTTTGGGAATATGGTGTGTGAAATCCCAGAAACTGATGCTACCAGAGAAAGGAGGTTTTTATAAAGGGCTTTTGTTGTCACATGTTTTGATTTGCTTTGGTTTTTTGTCTCCGTGATGTATGATAGCAGAGCACATGGAAAGAGAACCCAATCCACCATCGTCCCCAAGCCTGAGCAGCAGGGGGAGTGTAGACAGGAACACAGGTCCTTAGGGACCCAGTCTGGTAGGGCCCTTCTTAGAACAAGACTGCGGCTTTAGACAAAAACTCCACCTCTTGGTGAGACCCAGTCTCCCTGAGATGGTCTTGTCTGGGCATAAATCTTATAATTCTACAACGACAGGGCAGAAAGGTCCTTAGAGATCACTCATCACTCCAAGCGCAGTTCTGTTTCCATGCTGTTCTCAAGCTGGCAGTCTCAGCTGGTCCAATAAGGCTCTGGATTCCAGGATAATGGAGAGTTTGACGTGAGTTTCAGAGAGAGGTCTGCTTCTTACAGATATTCATCCAGTCCCCATAGCAGATCCATTGCCTCCTCCCCATCAAAGGCAAAGTGGATTCTGACTGTCCTGGTGTGATTTGAAAGAGCCAAGAGTATCTCTCTCTCCACTTGCCAAAACTCCACCCATAGCTCTTCATTTCTTTGTGTTAAGGTATATTCACCTGCTAAAATGAAAGGAGGTATGAGTCAGAAAACAAAACTCCCTCATATGAATGAGCCCCCAAAGTTAGAAATTATACCAGTGGGCATCTAAGAGGGGCGGGGAGCCGTTCCCTGGTTTCATCTTCACCACTTGGAATCAAAAGGGACTTTTCACATCGTGCCATCCTTTAACGAAAGAACAATTTAGGTCCAGAGGGTTCATGTCTCTTAAACAAGGTCACACAGCACACTGGGAACTAGGGATGGAGCCCTCTGGCTCCTCTGTACATTTGAAAGGACTCCTAAAGATTATTTTTTAATCCAAGACCCCCATTCCTTTGTTTTACCGACAATAGGAACCACCCTCACCAAAAGCCCCCTTTAAAAATTTCTTTTCTGGCGCTAGCATGGAATTACCATTTTAAGTACGCTCGGTGTATCTGAATGGACACACGCGAAGCTAGAGCTTGGGAACTTGAGGCGTCCCGCACCAGCGCAAACCCTGTCCGACTGCGCATGTTACCTGCCGGCTTCGGCCGCCTTCTCGCGGGCCTTAGTCGTTTGCCTTGGCGCTCCTGCCCCCTAGTGACAGCAAACTTTGCTGCAGTCACATTCACCAGACAAACGAAAGGAAGGGAAATTGGGTGAAAAGAGATGGAGGCAACCCTCATCCTTCTCTAAAAAAAAAGGCAGGCCTGGTTATGGGGACATTTTTTAACCTCACACACAAAAACACGACGAACTAGACGTTGGCCCGCAGCAGATTTGAACCTGCGGAGAGGTGAGGCCAGAACACCAAGGATCCTGGGTTGAAAACAGATTATGTAACTGACTCAGGGACTCGTGAGACCACCGGGGCTCTGAGGATCCCAGGGAGGCAGGAATAGAGGACCTTAAATAGCAAAAGAGGGGGACAATGGCGTATGGTACCCCCCCCCCAGCAATCACTAACATGAATGAATTCAGAGTCCTGCCCCTAGCTCTTCCCAAGCCTTGCTGAATGTTCATAGCACGGATCCCCACTCTTTGCTTAACTGACTCCTGCCCCTTCTGCTTATCTCAGTTCAGCTTCCCTCCCATCCCCTCTGGAAATGTGCCTTCATCATAAGCTCTCATGGCAGCAGGTACTTTATTTCATGGTCCCTGATTCTGTGTATCTCTGATTATTTCATGCCCAGTCTGAAGAGTCAGTAACCTGAACACAGGCACTGAGGCTACTTTGTTGACTACTCAACCTATGTCCTTAAAACAGCAATTCGTACATAGGAGGCCTTCAATTAATACTTTTCAACGGAATTAATAAAATCATAAGTGTTGGTTGAATGACTGAGTTACATCTGTTTACAGGATTAAAAAAAAAAAAACAGATCTCATGTCAATGGAGAAAGGAGAACCACATTTCAGGGCTTTGGGGCTGTGCCCGGCAGACTGTGTGATTAGTACCCTTCTTGCTCTGTCTCAGGACCCTCCTAGTCTATAAAAGACACAAAGATCTTCTGAAGGTGGAGACCCTTGAATATCACCCCAAATGCTCACCATCGTCCTTGGGGCGGGTAGCTAGTCCGGTGCTACCATAATTACACTTTTTGACGATCAGCCTCCACAGGCTCAGCTTTTGTCTCTGCTGTAGTAGGAAAATCTGCCTGAGAACTGAAGGCCAAGCAGGTTAAGAGTCTGTGAGGACATCAGGAGAACTGACCTTCGGAGCCGCCTCTCTGTGTGACCTTGGATAATGCCTCCCTGCAGGGGCTCTCCACTGTCCCATTTGTAAAATAAGGATCTTGGGGTATGTAACATCAAAGTCACTGGTTTTTCAGGTGTCAGAAAACCCAACTTAAACTGCCTTAAGGGGAGTAAAAAGGGGATATATATTGCTCATGAAACTGAAAAGCTATGGATTCAAGGTTGACTCAATCCAGGATATTGAGCAACATCATCTCAGCCTGGTTTCTCTTCTCCATCCTTCAGCTCTGCTTCCCTCAGCGTCGCTCCCCCTGTGGGCAGGTTCCCTATATATGGGGGTCTCCAGCAGCTCCAGGCTTTCCGCCCCTTGGCAGAAAAATAGAGGGACTTTCTCTCAACAGTTATCAGACAAAAGTCCCAAGACTGCCCCCACTGGTGCTCATCGCTGTAGTCAGGTGAAATTCTGGGCCCCACCAGAATCACACGATTGATACAGCCAGAAGCCCACCACCCCAGAAGGTGATCGGGGAAACACTCTCAGAATGTGCGGGTACAGTTGCTAGACAGACAAACACAGAAATGGCACTGCAGAGGAAGGGATCTTGAAAGACGTTTGCAGCTTCGAGTGCCCTGACATCACTCTGATGCGATGCCAGGGAAGTGGGATGGGAGACATGCCCTAGACATGCCCTAGAGTGAGCCCAACTCCAAACCCTTTGAAAAAGCCTAAAGGCCAAATAAGACCCTCACCCGCTCTAAAGGGAGAGAAGGGGTGACGTTAGCAGCCCATAGAAAGCAAGTTGTGACGCTGACCTTCCAGAAGCCAAGGGGCATAAAATGAATGGCATTTTGATAATGCCACTAAAATGGAACATTTCTATTTCCCAAAAAGATGGACACTGTCAGTGAGATTCATAAAAAATTAAAAAAAAAATCTTATTAAACTTTCCCTTTCACTGCTTCTTTGTATCTCTGGTTGAAATGGAGCAGGATGCAGGTTGCCATGGTGACGGCTGAATTTTAAATAACAGGGCTCAGGAGCTCGGGCGGCTGGCTCTCCCCGCCCCAGGCAGGAAACTGTTGGGGGAAAGAGAGAGGCAAAGTGAGCAAAGGAGGAAAGCTGCTGGGCTCATCCCAGGACACTAACTTCTGCAGCCTGTTCTCCTCACACCGGCAATAAGGCCCCCAAATCACCGACTCTGACTTCCTCATAGAATGAGAGAATGTGGAGTCCAAATGTGTAAGGACAGGACCCTCAAAGTCACTTTGTCCTGCCCGTTCCTGACTCACTCTCATGACAAATGGATTTCTCCTACACTTATGCCCCTTCCCAGGAGCAATGGGCTCAGCCCACCCAAGTTTTAGAAAGGCCACTGGAAACCTAACCCCAAGAGAAATGTTCAAGACCCAGAGACCCTGAGAGCGAAACCTACAGGATTTTTAAGTGAAAGAGGAATTTGAGGGCAAGAGCCTAGTAGCTGTAATTCAAACAGCCCTGGCCATAAATTCCAGTTCTGCTCTTCTCTCTAGAACCATCTAAGAACGAAATGGAGAAATTCAGGAAGTGAGAGTTCCCCATGTATGGACACACTCAGGCCAACATAGGCCAGCAAGGAGCTGACTGGCAGAAATGTTTTTAAATAGTGCCAGGTGTCAGAGATGTAGGGCCCTGCTGAGGGAAACTCAGAGAAGCAGCACACCAAGGCCTTCCCCCAGAAGCCTTCTAAAGTCCAGGCCGGGCAAAGGGGAAACCAGAGAGTAAGGCTGGAGAGAACCAGAAACCAGGAAGCATGGAAATCTGCTCTGCAGAACCAGCCCTGACAGGGAGGGTCTCATCTCAGGAGCGTCTCTCTGCTTGGCCCCGCGCACCCCAGGAAGAACTAGCACGCTCGACTGGCCCATCCCTTGTCTCCCAAACAAAATGGCTATTCTGGATAGGTCACGGTCAAGGCCATTCTGTGTATGTCAGAGAATGTCTTCTAGAAGTCAAATAATAATAGTAATAATAATTTTGTGTTTCTCTAACACAAAAACTGTTTCTTGAAGCTGGGAAATGACAAGATTATTATTATTCCCCCCAGGAGAATGAGGAAGAGGCAAAGAGATGGGGCCCCTGGGCCCATGACCTACACCTCCATGACCTGCATCTCTACACCTGTCCTGCGCCCCAGGCCTGATAATACAGCAGCTTGGAGGCTAGGATTCCCCCATCAGGATTCTCCAGGCAGCTTGGAATGAGCAAGAGAATGGCAGCACCTTAAGAAAGAGAATAAAAACCAGATTCAGAGTAAAGGGAAGTGGCCCAGCATTCACACCACCAGGTCCCATTCCTGTGCCTTCCTGAGCAGCATCGAGAATTCAAAGGCCCCCAGTCCCGAGGTGGCAGAAGGCAGCCACCCAACACTGGCCTTGGTCTATCACTGGTGCTGCCCAAGACCTGCTGGCCTCTCTTTCCAAGGGCAAGCTTAGACCCCAGACCACCACTTCTGCCCTCATAAATTCTGCCCTGCCTGCCCTGCCTATGCGTGCACACACACACACATGCCCAGAACAGGAGGCAGGAGCAGCATGCGGCCTTAGAAATAGCACCCAGAAATTTATATACACTAGGCTTGTACAGGCATGAAGCAGCTCCTGCAGGATGCCCAGAATCTATTAGCAGAAAGGGACCAGAAGACCGGAGGTTAGGGCCATGGGAAGAATGGAGATGTATTTTCCACCACTCCACACCTTTTTGAAAAATGTTTCTCACATGCATATATGCCTTTTCAAAAAATAAGTTCTGTTCCTCCTTCTAGAACATACATACTAAATTTGTCTTTGTCCTGGGCACCTGAAGTCAGAAAAACCAAGTGTCATTTCTATGCTAACACTAATGCCAAAGCAGTGTGATACCAGCCCAGGTCTTACCCACTCTTTGCCTCAGTTGCTGCGGCTGTAAAATGGGATTTTTAAATCTAGAAACCTACTCTACTCTTCTCAGAGACACTTCAGGAGTTCAATGAGACATAACAGTAAGAGTAATGATAATAGTTAAATATATTGAGTGCTCATCAAGGATTGGGCACAGTGCTAGTCTCTCCAGTCTAAAACAAGCCTATAACATTTAGTATCAATCTCATTTTAAAAGACAAGAAAAATAAGGCAGAGAGAGGTAACTTGCTCAAAGGCATGCAAGTACATATCCAGCATTCTGACTCCAGAACCAACACTCTTACCCACCAAATACAACTGTCCATCGGTATTCATTATCCTAGATGCAGCTGCCTGTCCCAAGAAGTTTGAGTGAGTGATCAGATAGCCTCCACCTGTTTTCCCCAATATTGGAGTCTCTGCCTTTGCTTAAGACAGTTTAATGAGGGGCAAGAATATAGAGATAAGGATATAAGCAAATCCCAAAGTGGGATCCCCATTCTAGATGCTAGGATCTGTTTGATGGCAGAGACCAGGACGGTGGGTGTGCCTCTAATGGCAAGAAGCCCCACCTAAGGCTCCCAGATGCACAACTGACTTGTTACCTCCCCACCGCCTGTCACCACGGCTATGAGAGACCTAGGATGCCAGGCCTCAATGGCTGTTCCTGATTTACAGAGCCTTCCTAATTCACACTTCCCCTTTCAATCTCCTCTTCTCTCTTCTGTGGACTTTGCAACCCTCTGCAATATCTACCAACTGACGGTCATGCAGCCCCTCCTTGAATACCACAAGGGATGAGCAGCTCACTCTCCACCCGGCCCAAACCAATCTCCACCCACACTTACCTGCTTGCAAAGTCTCCTTTCTGTTGCCCTGAAATCTGTCTCCCCATTTTGTCTAGCTCTCTGCCTCTTCTTCCACTGTTCCTGCAGCTGCCACTTCTTCTTTATCTCCTCTCCCCTTGTAGATTGTCTCCACCTCATAGCTTCTGCTTCCTCATTCTTGCTTCTGTTTTCTTCTGTTCCTTATGCCCCCTCTTGGCCTCTAGCACTGCCTCTCTCCATGAACATTTGAGCTTCTGGGACTGTCACCAGCTGCCTGCTTTGTTCTCCCCACCCACCTACCCCCTAAGTTCAAATTCCCCAAAGAAATCGTCAGATTGGGCGAGCTCATTACAGTTTGGATAAAGCTCTTCAATGCAGCCTGCAGATTGGCAGCCCTTGGGTCCATATCCAATCTGTTGTGGTTGGTAAAAGGTTGGACCATATGATAGAAGTATGGGCTGCCCCCTAGAAGATCACAGGAGTAGCCTGCTGTCCGCTGGCTACCAATACATTTCATTTTGCATGCCAACTGCACTCAAAAAATATTGGCTGCTTTACAAACTATGTTGAGACAGACTCAGAGGTTACAGCCGAGCTCCATGCAATATGATTAATGGCTTTTATTTGCCATGGGCATGCAAAAAAAAAAAAAAAAGCCTCAGCCTATATGTCCGTTACTTGCCCTTTTAGTGTTAGACCAGGTGATCTGATGTGGACAAAGTAAGTGGAGGCATCACCTTCCTTATTATGAATTTGCTGCTTCTCTTTATGAGGGCTAAGATTACATTTGCTTGCTCAGATGGATGGATCACATCCTGACTTCACATTGAACTTCAGCTACATAAAACCCCTAAGCCTTTTTCATACCTGCTATTAAGTCACATTTCTCCCATTCCATATTATACCAAAAAAAGAAAGAAACCAAACGGTTAAATTTTACATTTTTCCTTAATAAAGCTCACCTTGTTTAATTCCGCCTGTCACTCCAGCCTACTGAGATCTTACTATGAATGATGTCTTTTTCCAGCCTATTTGAGAAATTGCTCACACTCTGTCTGCAAGCCTCTGCCCATGAAATGGAGGTTAAATGTTTATGCCATCTTCTGCATAGGACTAACACAATGGAGAGTTTCGACTGTTTGCTTTCATAGATGGACCTACTTTTCACCTTTTGGGGGACAACTGCTCAATAATTTCAGAAAATTATTTTAGACTCCCAAGTGCATGTGGGTATTTGTCTGTTGCATCCACAGTGAGGATAACCAAAAATAGTTAAACTATTTCAGGGAGGAGGCTCCTTTCTTAGAATAATAGCTGTTGTTCATTGAACAACCATTCTGGGCGATAGATGCTTTCATACATTATTTCTAACCCTTACAACAATTTCAAGAGGTAGGGTTTATTATCTGCCCCCCCCCACTTTGTTAGGGATTAGACAACTGAGACATAAAGTGTTTAATCACTTTCCAAGATCACACAGCTGGTGTGTCTTGGGCTGAATCCCAGCCCCAATCTGCCTGACCCAGATCCTTTGCCCCTTCTGCTGGGCCACACAGCTTCTCCCTGAGTGTGCCTCTCTGAGTGATGGCAAAACTTGCTGTTGATGACTGATGGCAGAGATTGGGGGTTCACGAATACAGTTACCCATGGGTCACATTGTTTAAAAGCACCTATATTAGGTCTTTAAAAGTATGATATATCCATATTTGTAATATCACACAGTTATTAAAAAGAAGGAGGTAGATCTACATGTATTCATACAAAAGACATCCAAGATGTTAAGTATGACTATTCTGATCTTATTTTCTTAACATTACATTAATGGTGGAGGTAGGAGGTGAAGAATTATAGGAGACTTGCAGTTTCTATTCTTAATATTTCCATTTTGATTGAATTTTTACATTTGTATATTATTTTTGGAATCAAAAAAAATTTAGGAAAACAATGTGTCAAAATCATCAGTTCCTGGGATGCCTGGGTGGCTCAGCTAAGTGAGCATCCAACTCTTGATTTCAGCTCAGGTCATGATCTCAGGGTCATGGGATCAAGCCCCGCATTGGGCTCTGCACTCTGCACAGAGTCTGCTTGAGCTTCTCTCCCTCTGCCTCTCCCTTCACTCACTCTCTCTCTCTCTCCCTCAAATAAATAAAATAAAATCTTTTTTAAAAAATCATCAGTTCTGGGTGTTATACAAAAGTAATGAATTGTGGATCACTACATCAAAAACTAATGATATATTGTATGGTGACTAACATAACATAATAAAATCAAATTAAATTTAAAAAAAAGCCATCCGTTCATCTTCCCCTTCAACTCCTGAATGTCATGCAACTGTGTGATGCATAAAGATCTGAGCCTCCTGTATCTGTGGCAATAATACAAGAAACACACTGTCTCACATACACAGACATGAGGTAGGGGAGCACCAGGGTTGGTTACCTCAGTGATTGACTGACTTATGATGTCCTAAGGCATCTTTGTGCCCTCCATCCTCAGCAGGCCACCTGGCCCCCTATACATCATTAACTGGCTGCCACTGCTCTAGGCATCCCAAGCAGCTATGATAATATCCAGTGAAAAAAGAGGCTCTCTTCCTATGTCACTCTTTTTAGCATTAAGAAGAACCTATTCTAGAAGCATCCACAGCAGACTTCTCACATCCTGTTAGTCAGAATTGCATTCTTTGCCCCCTGCTAATCCAATGGCTAATAAATGTGATGAGGTCATTGAGCTCAGAATGGACAAATGATTTGCTCCCTGGGACTGGAGAAGCCAGCCCTCTTTGAGGCACGTGACTTGTCTGCTCTGAATGATACTGGGGTTCTGTTAATAAGCCTCCCCCCAAAAAGAAGAGGGAGGCTGTAGGAACCATGGTGTCACACTATTCCCTAAATTAATTATGATGCCATGCTCCTCTTAGGAGTGTTCTTACCCAGCAACCCTGTCCCTCCCCACTCACCCCCACCCCATATATTCTCAGAAGCACATTTTTTCCGAGCCAGGTATACTAGGTTTATAAACGATTTGAATATCAAAGTGTCCCCTAAAGTGCTCCTGATTTTGTTACAGTTACTTATGCTGAAAGGAATACTCATAAAAACCTCTACTGAAAATCCCAAGCCATGGTCCAGTTGATTTCAGAAACTGAGAATTCTAAAAGCAAGCAAGCAAATGATTTTTAGTGGTGGTAATTTATGGCTCAGTTTAGCAGGATACACGGTTTTTGACAAGGAGGATTAAGCTGAATAGATTTTAGAGGAGAAATTTAAAAACAGACAGACCTGTCTTAGATGTTTTAAAATAAAGCTTCCTACAGGTAGGGTTCAATGTGCTCTGCCAATCCTCTGAAAAGCTGGAAGAGGGTACCACCACCCTCCATGGTTCAGCCTTTTGTCCATTTGGGAAGTCATCAAGATAAAAGTCTCAAGCTACGTGTTACAAACTTGAGGACTCTCTGACATGGAATTAATTTTTCTGGTAGAGGAGGTTGCTGACCAAGGCTGCCAGGGAAAGAGAATGAGGAAGAGGAACTGTTTCCCCAACACCATCAAAGCTGGACCTTGAATTCAGTTATCTTAACTTCTTAACTGGCTTTGGCTTGCCCCTTGTGCTAGATGCCTTCGTTTGCTCCTCTAGAGCCACTCTCCTCTCTTCCCCATCCTGCTCTGTACCCCTAGAGGCTGACCTGCAGGAGTGCATCAATGGGCTCCTGGCCCTCTGACTTCCAGTTAGGTCTGGCACTGGCAGGAGATCAACAAGAAGAATTAGAGAGCACTTGGTGAGATTGGGAGGTTTATTCTCCAAGTTCCCTCCCTTTTGGGTCCCCAAGTGCTGGCTTCATTTGGAGTTCTCAGTGAATAGTCCTATGTCCCCAATCCCAGGAACCCACCCCCTCATTTGCCATAGCAGTGGTAATGGAGCCCCGCTATTACTAATCTGAGGTTCTGAGCTATGCCTTGTGGTTTCCCTACACCCTGCCCACGCCTTTGTAAATAGCTTCTTTATGAAACTCTGCTTGAGTTATCCTAATTTGAGGGTGCCATCTGTTTCCTGCTAACACACCTCTCTAATTTGATCTTATATGGGCTGCATGTTTTGCTTGGTGATATTTCTGTGTTCCTGCCTCCTGAATCACTGCTCTGCACAGGAGCAAAATCTTCAACCTCTGACGTCACATAGAAGTGGGTTCAGATCCCACTCCACCATCTATAGCTAGAAAACCTCGGGCCCATCACTTTACCTCTTTGAACCTCAGTCTCCTCATCTGCAATATGGCCATAATAATAATAATAATAATAATAGTGGTATGCTCTCCATGGGAGACGCTGAGCATCAGATGACAATAGGGAGTGGTGGGGCGTAGGATGAACTACAGAGCTCATGCCACATCTAGAAAAGGAGGCACCAGCTCCCCGGATCCCAGTGATAGTTGTCATGAAGAAAAGCCAGTCCAGAGTTGCCAGTTCTTCTGATACTTCAAGAAGCCAGAAACCTAGATTTCTATACAAAATCTCTCCTTGACAACAATGTTAGCACCATAAGGATAGTAATGACAATTTTATTCATTACTATATCACTGTATAGTGACTAGAAGAGTACCCAGCACATAGAAATGATCAAAAAATCTTTGTTGCATAATTTTTCCAATTTCTAAATTATAACAGCTAGTGAGGGTGAAGCAAAGCTGGGGCAGGGGAGGTGCTGCATGACTGCGAGAAGGCAAGCACCTCCTTCAGTACGGCATTCCAGCCATGTCACTCACCCCTGCCCTGGCCCTGAACACAACACTCCTGCAAATTGCTACTTTAGACTTCTGCTCTAGAATGAACCACAACTGAAAGGTGTTAATAAATGATACTTTGGGGGGCCCCTACTAATTCAATAATGCCGTTTTTTCATGAAGTGAGGTATAGCCATCATCTGCAAAATATGTACTGTTCACACGGCTCACCTGCAACCAGGCATTTAATTATTGTGCCCAGGGCTGAAAGGAGATTTTTTTCAGCCCAAACAGCTCACGGATCCTCCCCTCCTTCTACCACAACCTGAGGATACAAACCCAGTGAGCTGTAGATTTTTACCCAGTTTATAAATGCCAAGGAGGCAGCTCTTCAGCAAAAGAATGACTTGGTGGACACATTGCCGATAAATAATGTATGAAACCACTTCTCTTTTAACGGCACTTTGCAGTGACACTAATGTTGATGAAAAATGTTAGCATGTGTTAGATGGTGTTATAGTCAGTGAGAGATGAGGTTTGGCAGGCTCTGGGCCACTTCTGGTCTGGGCCAGAGATGTGAGAAACAGCAATTCCCAGCTGATGGGTGTTAGCCCCTGTATGAAATAGGCTCTTGGGTCAAATAAGACAAACACTTAACCTTGGCAAGTATGTTGTGGTGACTACTGTTGGTTGGCTGACCCAATGGTCCTTACCAAATCCCTCTCTTCTAGTCAACTTCCACTCCACAGGTTGGAAAATTTCAGCGTCTTCTGCAATCGGCAGAGGTCACATATAACACAATGAGTCATGAGTGGAATTCTGCTGGGCAAAGGAAGGAGTTCTGGGAAGAAAATGTGCTTTTCTGATAAAAGGGGCGGACGTGATCAGTCAGCACCAACTGTTCCACTCTTCCTGCCCTCAAGTGGGATGGAATGTCCAGAGCCATCAAAGCCATTTTTAAACCCAAGAGCCATGGGAGGGCAAGGCTACAGTGACAGGAGTCCTGGTGTCACTGAGCCTCCAAACCAATGTTAATAAACGCCCGTATTCAGACTAGATGAGAAAAAACAAATGCCTATTTGCATAAGACTCTGTGAGCTAGATGTCTTGCTCAAAACAAACGAGTGCCTTCTGATACTTTTTTTTTCCCTAAAGATTTATCTATCTATTTGAGAGCGGGGAGAAAGGCAGAGGGAGAGAATCTTCAAGCAGACTCCCCTCTGAGCATGGAGCAAAGCAGGGTACAACTCCATGATCCATGAGATCATGACCTGAGCCAAAACCAAGAGTCAGACACTTAACTGCACCACCCAGGGACTCTTTCTGATACTGCTCTTAACCTCTCTGTGCCTCTGAATTCTCATCTGCATAATAGGAATAATAACAGTATCTATTATTGTGAGAGGCAGAAGCTTTAATGAGAATGTATTCAAAGTCTTGAAATAGAGCTTGGCCCATATTAAATCCTGAACCCTAGCATCATTATGTATTCATGAATAAGCTACTAGGCATTGTTTTATGCTCCTCATGCCATCACAATGCCTGAATCAATGTAAGCAAAAAGCTAAAAGGAAATAGAGACAGGTATGTGGCATAGATAGATAGATAATAGATAGATGGATAGATGATAGGTAGATGAATGTGGGAGATTAGGAGTCAGGAGGTGCAGGGCCTAAATGTCCAGTAATAGAGAAATGATCATGTAAACGAAGGCACATTCACTCCATGAACTACATATGCAGCCATTTAAAGTGTACAGTAAAGACCACAGAAGGACATGGGGAAATCCTTATGATAAAATGTAAAATAACAAAAAAGACACAGACACACAAATTACATTTAAGGGATGATCCAAATTGTACTTTAAAAACAGTGAAAATGAAAAAGAAATAACCCAAAATGGCAATCTCTAAGCTTATAGATATTTTTTTTCTCTTTTATAATTTTCTGCATTTCCAAATTTGGGGGGGGGGGGGGGGGGGGAACACCATAATCATTGTGCAATACAAATTTTTTATGGTTTTTTTGCGTGTTCAAAATTCTTTGCAGTAAACTCAGATTATTTATTTAATAAGAAAAATAATTTCAGGGGCACCTGGGTGGCTCAGTTGGTTAAGCAACTGCCTTCGGCTCAGGTCATGATCCTGGAGTCCTGGGATCGAGCCTCGCATCGGGCTCCCGGCTCAGCGGG